CTGTAATTACCTGTCAGGAGGAGTCCCGGCTTGTCCAGTCAACGTGTGAGCGCTCGAGAGGCCAAGTAGTGTGAAAGCCAGCATAAAGCATAGTAAATGTGTTATACAAGTATAAGACCAAAAAGTATCAGACCATTTACATTTGTGGCTCAGGAGGTAGAGCGAAAAGAAAATTGGGAAAACATGAGAACACATTGTTTAGAACTCTTTATTCTTTATCACTCCATGCACATTTGTCATTTTCAAATACAAGATTGTTTTCTCTCCCACCACCACCGCAGGAGAAGTTCAGGCCACTTCACAGTGTAGAAAGCACCACAGGTCTGTGCTGCTTTTGGATGATGTAATGAAAGAAACTGCAAAAGCACGCAACAGGAAATAACATTCCACTACAATATTTTACTGTTGCCAACATGTTGAATGTATCTCAATTAATCCTTCTTTAAAATGTGTGGAAGTGTCACCTCCATGTTGGCTGCAAAAGCACAAATGTGTAACTAATGTGCAACCGTTCCCAAAAAAAAGAAAAGGGCCAGTAGCACTACGGACTGAGCCTGCAGCTACACGGCCCTGCTGGGACACTAGAGGCAAACTCTGTGTTGTAAATGTGTGAATTAAAAATGTAAATCAGCAAAATACTCTTTCACTAGAAATGTAATTTTGAAAAGAACTGTGGCATGTAAGTAAGATGTAAGGGCAGGATGATCTTAAATATTGTGTCATAGAAACATTAGTGTTTCTATCTACATGAAGTGCTCTGGATCTGTAACGAACCAAAGTGCTGCAAAAACAGACTAAAATGAATTCAGTGAATTATGATTCTAACTGTGGACAGACGTGCATTAAGAGGCACCGTGGCCCTGTACCAACATGGCAGCCACACATAACAGCAGCAGCTATCAAGGTCTTTCTTAATTTTATTTTCTCTATAGTGTCAGATCACAACAGAAGTCATTTAAGGTTACTTTTCCTATAGAACAGGTCTATACCTTGCTCTTTTATTAAACAAACTAAACAGCCTTATGTATCTTATTTCTGTCTCTACATGAAGACGTGCTTCTTTTGCTTGTAGGTAGTGAGGAGCAACATATGGGAGTATGCTGACACAAGGACTGATGGTTGTATTTGTGCACACTTGTTTTTGTGCTCACATCAACAACACCAGTGTAACCCTACACAATTTTTATTCACTTCATCATTTGCGACACAGTGTGCATGGACAAATACTCAGCCCCTGACCTCTGCCTCAGCTCAATGAGAACACACTCCATTTGTAAAGTAATAATAGCCCCTCAGTGCTGCACTGCCCTCGGAGATATAATAATCACCCCTGTGTTAGACCACTGAGGAGGGGTTTATTAGTCACTACTCAAAGCATTGATTTTGTTCTACTCTTGTCGAAAGCCTTCTCGCTGCTCCTATGCTGCATCTGTCCTTCTGCATCTCCCTGAGGACAATAGCCTCATAACACATCTTAGATATGACCCCAGCTTTTCTCTGAATTATTAAACATACCCATATCAGACACTGATATTCTCATGCATTAACTGTGAACTGACAGTGGTGCTATGGGACAGTGTGTACACTTGTGCATGTGAACATGTACTTAGATTTCAGCTCATGTTTCACATTTGTGTTGAATGAGGCCTGTAGTTGCATCGACTGGCTTTTTCAGGGAAAAAAAAAGCAGTAAAAGTATTTACAAGCAGCACAGAGTAGGAAATCGGTCTTAAAGCTACAATCAGTAGGAATTCAAAATCTAGACTAGAACCAATCGCCTCCAGTCTGATTAGCCTTCCCTCTTGCTGTTTGCTCAGCTCCACCCAGCCCACCATGAACACCAAACCACGGTCACGGAGCCACAGTTCGGAGCAATATTCACCCAATTAGCAGACACTACAAAATTCAGCTGGTGGGCATTAAAACAACGCAACTCACTTAACTGACTGACCTGCTTCATGACTCCTGTAAAACAATAAAACTGTACAGCTACTTCCACTACATGACAGGCAAACACGACACATTTACAGCCAGCACAGTTTGTGAACATCGGCAGAGAAATCAGAATGGCTCCTGCAAGTCCACAGAAAAGTTTTATAAGTCAATCTGCACAGTCGCATCACAAAAAAAACACTTAGCTACTCAAGGACACATGCTGTTCAGAAACACATTTGAAACTGAATAAAACACACTGTGGAGTGTGGCTACATCTGAAGAGTGAGATGCAAAGTAATATCACTGCAGCGAGTGCCAAACCAGGGTGACAACAGCCAGACTCCTGGGGGCAAAAAAAAACACAAAAAAACCCCCCCACAAAGTTAGTGGAGTCTACAACACATTCAGCTGGTTGAAAATAGAATAATGTCCTTTACATCTACAAACTGATTTGACAGCTGCAGCAGACTGACCGGGTGGCTTGTGAGTGAACCTGCTTGGATGCAACTATCTGATTATTATAACAGAGAGTAGCAACACAGTGGCATCCTTAGTTTAGACAGCTGCTGTAAGTCACACTGGGAGCGCAAATGACATGTTCTGGCATGATTTATCTACAAGTACAAAGGGTAATGGTTTGAATCCTCATCACACTACTATAAATAATAAATTCTCAACATACCAGTCAAACGGAAACAATGCCAAATCAACATCCGGATGTAAATCCCTCTGTCAACTCTCTCCATGTGCTTTACAATCTAAATCCAATTTTGTTTGTTGCTTTTCTTCTCTTCAAAACTCTCACTTCTTGACCTTGTTTATGTAACTGTCTCAGCTAACTCTGAAATCAGTAGCTTGCTAGCCTGTAGCCATGTCAATAGAGGCAAAGCACGTTCATGTATCGATTGACAGCCGTGAGCTCCCATCCCTGAGAGTGGACTTCTCTGATTGGTTAAGTGTGTTATCACAATAAAAACATCTAGAAGGGAACAGCTCTGCACTGCTGCCAGGCTGTTTACTGGGTCTGGGGTCACAGGAGCCTTCGACAGCAACTCACCCCATTAAGATAACCTTTGGGGATGTTTCTACTAAAATAATATCTGAAATATACTGCATACTGTTAACTTTAAGTGGCCAATCTGGACAATGAATTTCTTCAAATTTGGCACAAATGTCCACTTGGATTCAAGGGTGATCTGTATAGATTTTGATGGTCAAAGGCCAAGGTCACTGTATCCTCAAGTGTGTCCCATTCCTGTGAATTTGACTAGTTAGAGGTGGCATACAAGTGCACAGCAGTAATTCTAGCTGATCCTACTTTTAGGCCTTAGAGTAAATGATCAACTTTCCTAACTGAAAAAGCAATTCCTACCTGTGAAAATATCTAGGACACCTCCTGAGGTGCTACATAAACCTATGTCTTCGCAACCTCACAGTGACAGGATGGAAAATACAGCTTTGAAACAGCAATAATGTAGATCTCTGTCACAGCCAACAGCTTCTGCAGTAATAAATCAAACTCTGATTACTCATACAGTGCCTCAGATAACTGTCAGATTTATTTACTTCCACACCACTCAGTGTGAAGGTGTGGAAAAACAATGTGCATTCATCCAAATAGGATGGTAGGTTTAATTCTTTAATAGTTAATTCAATTAAAATTATGGCTGAGTGACATTTAAGAGGTATAATACTGTTATGGTGTACTTCTCTCCCATCTTTCCTGTCTGCATCTTTAATATGAACTGTCAAACTCACTATTGCAGCCACATGCTAAAATCATTTAAGTTCATTTTTT